TGGATGAAGTGACTTGACTGTGGATGAAGACAACCAGATAGTCTGCTGACAGGACAGCAGAGAGCAGGGCTCTGACACTGAAGCTGACCCCAGCCATGTGAGCTCCTTCTGACAGATGCCTGCCCCAGACCTCTGGTTCAGTGCTCTCCCACGATGCTGCCTGAGCTGTAGGTAGAGAACAGCACTAGCGTGGAGGCTCTGCAAGGCCAACCTGTCAGGTTTCTGCAGGCTACCAGGTCTTTGATGCTGGCAGTGCACACCAAGGCAGCCCACAGTCATTGCCCAGGGTAAGGGCTACCCATGTGTTGCAGTGCTGGGCTGGAGCTGCTGTGAGAGCAACTACTGGGCAGAGGCAGATTGCAAGAGAGGATTCAGGTGGCTCCTGCACTGTGGATGAAGGTGGAGTTTTGCCAGGGACAGGATGGAGATGGTGTGGCTGTACGTGGTGCTGATCCTGGTGCAGCATGTCCTTGCTGTGACCTGGCTGTAAGTATGCTTTGTACTTGTACTGTCTGGATTGGAAAGTCACCTGGGGAGGTGCTGTCTCCCAAGAAAACAGGCAGATCTGTGAGAAAGTGTGGAAGAAGGAACCGGGCAGCCCAAAGGCAGCACATTAAGAGGGATATCTCTGTGAGCATGAAGGGAGACAGTGAAGCTGGAGAGGCACAGATCAGTACCAGGAGCAGGAATGTCCAATTCGGTACAGACAAGAGGCAGCACATCCCCTTGCCTGCTCCATTTCTGCTCTATAATACGGCTACAGAGGGCCAGTCCCACACAGACTCGGCTCTGGCTTGCTCTCATCTGCGACTGAATCTCTCCACTGCCCCACAAGTACCTGGCCAAGCAGAATTCCCTGCAGGTGCTCCTCCGGGACCCCAGGGGCTGCGAGGGCCTGATGGGGCTGGTAGAAGAGCAGGTTCGTGTTTGTCAGTGGGAGGTGGAAGCCATGGATGCGGTGAGGCGAGGCGCGGAGCTGGCTGTTGAGGAGTGCCAGCACCAGTTCCACTCCCCGTGGTGGAACTGCTCCACGCTGCAGGGGCTGCAGGTCTTTGGCAAGGTTGCCATCCAAGGTCAGTGATGGGGAGGCAGCGCAGGGAGTCCCGTCGGTATGTCCATGGGGTTCCCTTGACACACCAGCTCCTTTCCTGGGCTAGTGTGCCCAGAGAAGCCAGTGCCTTCCTCCACATACTACCGTAGCTGTCAACACACAGCAAATGGAACCAAATGCGTATGTTATTACAAATATTAGTATTCTGTCTAAACTGCTTCCTCATTTGGCCAGATTTGGCTTTTTGGTCCCATCTGGACTATTGTGGGTACCAGCTGTGCAGACTGGTAGATCTTCCTGACCAACCCAGCCCTTTGGAGTAGTAGCTCAAATCAAAGCTTTTGCTCTGCACCTGCAGTCCCTTTTTGTTGCAGGCCAGGAAAAAAGGATCTATGACCCCAAAACAGCACTGAACAGATTTTGCATGTGTTTGGATGGGAAGAGCCGTGCAAGGAGCTATGAGCAAGAGTCTCTCTGGCTCCTAGACACAAAGCGGCAGGGTCCTCCCTGACAAACCGCTCTGTGTGGGAGGCTCATCCCCTGGCATCTCCCACCACGGCTCCCCTTTCACTTCTCCTGGGGGCTGCTGAGCTCTCTCCCCCGCAATGGGACACCTGGCCCGGGAACTCAGGGTGCCAAAGACATGGATCCCAAAGGACCCCACAGAGCCGTCTTTCTTAGTGGTCCAAAGCCTTAGGAACAGCGTCACCGGGTGAGCATCCTTACAGAGATTTCTCCTGAGCATTCTCCATCAGAATGCGTCTTTCCTGCATGCGATCACAACCTCTTTTCCCCTGCACTGTGTCCCATGAATGCCTTCCCCCTCCACAGACTGGTGGCATCTCTCTCCCCCCTGCAGGAACATGGGAGTCTGCTTTCATCCACGCCATCGCCGCGGCCGGCATTGCCTTTGCTGTCACTCGCGCCTGCAGCCGTGGGGAGCTGGAGAAGTGTGGCTGCGACCGCAAGGTCGGAGGAGTCAGCCCCGAAGGTGAAGGAGGAGGCTGGTGACAGGGAGGGGGTGGCAGAGCAGAAGGTCCATGCAGGAGACCCTCACCAGAGGAGGAGTCACCTCCCTTCTCCACAGTCCTCAGCCCTTTGGGAGCGCCTCCCAGGGCTGCTGCTGCTTCTTCATCTCATGGGTGCTTTCCCTTTGCAGGTTTCCAATGGTCAGGCTGCTCTGATAATCTGTTTTATGGGATTACCTTCTCTCAAGCCTTTGTAGACAACCCTGAGAGGAGCCGCGGCGTCTCCTCCAGCCGAGCGCTCATGAACCTGCACAACAATGAGGCTGGGAGGAAGGCAAGGGCAGGAACAAGGGCTGGGAAGCAAGCCTGGCTTCAGGAGCTTCTCCCTGGCTAAGTGGAGCCCCCTTACCCTGAGGAGCAGTGCGGGACAGCCATGGGTCCCCAGAGGAGGTCTGTCCTGCTGCCTTTTCCCAGCCCAGCACTGTGCTGCTCACATCGAGCTGGCTCCTCGCCTGTGTGTGTGTGGGTCCCAGCCTCCCTAACCCGCCTCTGTGCAAAGTCTCCTTTTCCTCACAGACCTCAGCTGTGATTTACTTTCCTTGGCCTTTTTTGCAAAGGAAATTAGTTTCTCCATCCTGCTCTGACAGGCTTCCCTGCTCCTTCAGTCCCTCCTGAATAAAAGCACCATCTTCTGCAGGGGACACTTAGATCTGGTCCCCTGAATGTCCTCTGGCTCTGGGCAGATCTGTTCCCCTCCCCACAGCCCCATGGATCACAGCAGGTCCTCATCTCTTGCTCTGCATCAGGGATTTCTTTTACACACCCAAGCCATCCTGTTCCCTTAGAGGGGAACCCCTTCTCTTTTATACTGACCTGGCTTAAAAGAACTATTTTATTCCCTTCCTTTGCCTTGCCATGATCTTTCCCTTCCCTTCCCTTCCTTTCCCTTCCCTTCCCTTCCCTTCCCTTCCCTTCCCTTCCCTTCCCTCCCCACCCCATGGAGGTGTGTGGATACAGTGGTTGCTGCACCTGCAGCTGTGGGAGCTATGGGTCAGGGTGTCCCAGGTCTGGCTGGCAGCTGCCTCCTGCTCCTCAGGCTCTCCTGGCCCACATGAAGGTGGAGTGCAAGCGCCACGGCGTGTCAGACTCCTGCGAGGTGCGCACATGCTGGAAGGTGATGCCTCCCTTCCACAAGGTGGGCAACATCCTCAAGGAAAAGTTCGAGGGAGCGACGGAGGTTTACCCCAAGCGGGTTGGTTCTTGCAAGCTCCTGGTGCCCAAGAGCTCTCGCTTCAAGCCCTACACAGCTCACGACCTGGTCTACCTGTTGGCCAGCCCAGACTTCTGCGACCGGGACCCCCTGCATGGGGTCTTTGGCACCTCAGGCCGCCAGTGCAACCGGACCTCGGCGGCCATGGATGGCTGTGATCTCCTGTGCTGCGGCAGGGGCTTCCGCACAGCCCAGGCTGAGGTGGTGGAGTGCTGCAGCTGCGAGTTCCGCTGGTGCTGTGCCGTCAAGTGCAAGCAGTGCCGGCACTTCGTGGAGGTGCACCGCTGCCGCTGAGGGACAGCCTGTGGGGCCACGGGGAGAGGACAGCCTGGGGAGGGACATGGGGGAGCAGGAGAAGGTGTGGGGAGACACACAGCCTGGGGGGGAGCGGAGGAGATGTGGGGTTCTGCTGTCCTGCCAGAGAGGAGCCCCTGCCTCCAGGGGTGCCACCAGCTCCTCTGTGCTCCCCACATGGCACCCCCTCGCCAGCCTTGCTGCGTGTTTTGTTGTTTGAATTGTTTTTCCAGATGTACAGTTGGAGAACACAGGCCCAATAAACCCTTTGACTTTAGAAATAAAAATGGAAAGCCAAAGGCATACGTTAGCTCCTTCCTCATGCTGCATTTGGGACCTGAGGGTACCTGGCTCTGTTCCTTCCCATGGGCTGGGAGGAGAAAAGACCATGGTGGAGTCCTCATGCTTAGAGGAATACATAGGCTACAATAAGTGAGAAACAGAGCAGAGCAGGGGGCCATGGAGACCCACCTCAGACATCAGAGGGGTCACTGAGGGGTGGAATAGAGCAGTGGCATCAGAGAGAAGGGAGCAAGTTAGGTTTGTGGGAACAATGGGCTCTTTATACAGTAAGTCTCACCCTTGGGAGAACTACTAACTGGTATAGTAGGCCTTCAGGGGGAGGGAGGCAAGACGTGGGTGGGATGTCAGACAAGGATGCTTGGGCCAGAGACTCTAAATCCAGGTTCCCAGGGCTGATGATGCCTTCTCCAATGCTCAGCTGCTCCTTTGGCTGAAGAAAAATGTTTTCAGGATGAGTTCCAGCAGGTGCCACAGTGAAATGCTGTGGAGTGAGGCTCCCCTCATGGTGTGCTGCTGCCACTGGTGCAGAGCAGATGCTCGGAGGGTGAGATCTGGCGATGATGAGCTGCCATAACCAGCAAGCGGTCTGGGAAGAGCTGTCCAAGTCTATCCAGGTATTATGTCCCACCACAGCCCCAGAGAGCCTGATATGGAGCCCTGTGCTTCCTGCACATGTCCCCACTACCATGCATCAACCCCTGGAGAGGTCGAGGAACCTCTGGTGCCACAGCTGCACCTCCTCCTCTCCCTCCTTCTCACTCAGCACCCGGTATGTCTTGTTTCTGCGGCAGCTGCGGCGAAACACCTGCAAGGACAGCCTGAGTTCATGGGACTGATACCGCTGCCTATCCTTCCCCCGGGAAAAGAGGATCCCCATGATGGCTGGTGTCTGGAGGCTGGGATGGCAGGGGTGCCAGAGGGAAGAGGGGAGAACCAGCTGGAAAGCGGGATGGAGAGGCTGATAGCTAAATGTGTGTTTAGCTGACATATGGGCTAGTGCTCTGTGCTGCTCTTGTGTGTTTGGGTTTTGTTGCCACCTAGGAAGCACCCAGTAGATGGGGGAGACCTTCTCCGGGAGGGATAGACAGGGATACCCCCGGCAGATGGGAGGGTCCCCACAGTTCCTCTGTCTCAACATTAGTATTTGTCTCTGATGCCACCTCTTACAGCATCTGTGCAAATCCCATGGCCTCAATTACATGTCAGCTGCGCTTGGGTCACTATTTGTCACCCCCTCCAAATACACACAATTCTGTCCTGCTGGAGAGAAAAGCAGTGGGCCTGTGAGTCCTGCAGGGACTTGGGGCTGGCTGTGGAGGGACCAATGATGGAGGAGAAGGCTGTGTAAAGGGCAGTCCAGGCTGCTTCTTACCCTCTGGTTCTTGAGGCTCTGCTGGAGACACTGATGGCTTTTGAACCCGCAGTAGCTAGGGTGCTGAATTCCATCCGAATCACAGATCTAGGGGGAGATGCGAATGAAAGCCAGAGGAAGAAGAGCAGAAAGAGGGATAGGAGCATCCACGGGGCACCCACCTGGTTTGGGTTATCTCCATCTTTGAAGGCAGTGTACTCTGCCTTCAGCCAGAGGGCCACACGAACATCCTCACAACCATAAGTGGCCATCCGGCTGCACCAGTACTCTGCCCTCAGCCCTCTGAAAACATCCATGCCATAGTACTCTGACGTGTCTGGGAAGCTGGTCTGCAAAGAAGGGATGAAGAGAGCTATGCTTCTTCCACGCCTCCCCACCACCCAGCCTAGGCTTCTTCTCAGAGGCCAGCAGGACATTCAGCGTGCTCACTACCTTGTTGCTTGCAGCCTGGTGCTGGGCTAAGATCTGAGGGTTGATGTAAGGGGAGAAGTTGCCTGTCTCGCAGTGAACACGGTTCAGGGTATGGATGTTTTGACATTGCTCCCTCTTCAGCGAGCAGAAAGCACAGTGAGGACACAGGTCCATGTGAAGCCGCCCGAGGCTGTCACACACCTAGGGTGGATGCAGTCAGGAGGTCAGTGGGGGAAAAGGAGACTGAGGAGCTCCCATATCCCTGGCTTGGAGCTTGCCTCCCTGGTCACCAGGTCAGCTTCTCCCAGGAGGTGGCACCTGAAAGGACAGTGCTGATGAGCTCTGGCTGCCAGAGCACTGTGGTCAGCACTGCAGGGAGCCCTGCACGTAGAGGGAGTCAAAAGTGGACATCAACATCTTTACCAAATCTCCGAATCCAAGGATTCTTTCTTCCATTTCCTTCCAAGCCTGAGTGACCACTGATGCGAGACAGTTTCCCTCCAGCATTGCATAGCACAGGATCATCACTGCTTCGTCCTCCTTCAGGGCTAAAAGGCTGACAGAGGAAAGGACAGAGGAAGTCAAGTCTCATCTCTTGTCACAAGTTGAAGAGATAGACCTTTAGTTAAAAACTGAAGGAGGAAAAACAACCCCAAAGCACAGCAAAAAAAACCCTTCCCAAAGAAACCTTGGACTCCTGGCCAAGCTGCATGGAGCAATGTGAGCATCTGCAGAATATATGCACATTCAGGAGTACGTGAAAGGGACTGGACAAGGAGCACAGCTAAAGCAACCTTCCCATAAGGCCCTTTTTTGTCCATCTGAGTGTACAGCAAGGAGATGTTAGAGGTCTGCTGAGTGTTGACCATGGGGCAGCCCCATTTGGGTCTGGAGTATGTAAATTATTAAGCCTCCCTCCTGCTTGAACCAATGTATTTGTCAGAAAGGGGAAAAAGTTGGTAACAACGAATTAACTGTTCATCCAAACCAACATGGGAAGCTAAAAGCAGAAAATTTAATGCCAGCGTGATAAGGACAATATTTTGCATCTCTTAGGAACAGTAGAAACTGTAGACACGATACAATGGTGTCAGTTATCAGTAATGACGCAGAAGAAGTAAAAATGCTCATTAAACATTTGTCTTCTGTGTCTGGAAACAAAGCCAGTGATAAATAAAGCAACTGGTTTAGTTTCTGATCTGGCAGAAAATAAGAAGAACAACAATTACTTACGTTAAAATGCTCTTAAAATCCATACATGGGCTAATCTGTATGAAGAAGTTTTCCTGAGAGTAGCTTAAACTTTCTGGAGACCTTCAGATTATCATTAGATTTCCTAAGGCCTGGAAAACCTTCACCTGGAGTGAGAAGCTAAAAAAGCTTTATTTAACTGAGCAAAGACACTAGTGGGTGGCCACTGGGTCAGTCAGTTAGTCAGTACTTTTACCAAGGTGGGGATCCTCTGGAAGGCTCTTTTCATTAGCAGGTGGAACAGTAATGACTTTCAGTGACTAGAATTTGGGATGAGATCCATTCAAACCAGAAATTAGCTGCATTTTCCTGTTACGAAGGGTATTTACCATGGGAACAACTGATGGGGTGGTTTCTCCACAGCTTGGAGACTTCAAAAAGATATCCCAAATTTCTCTTAGTAGAAGGGCCACATGATACTGTTTTTTCTTCAGGGCTCATCAGGCAGGGATCTCCATCCTGTACTGAGCAGGAAGGCTGGTGAATGATCAGAGTAATTGCCAGGCCTGAAGGATAAAAGAGGTCAACCTCCCCACTGTTAAGCTCTTGCAGTTACGTGGTGTGTGAAGAAATCGAGCTGTAAGGAATGACTGGTATTCATGGATATGTGAGAGTCGTACGCTGTACACAGAGGAACATGCAGATGCCTGGCATTTGCACTGGGTTTGGGTGTGCTCTCACATAGGAGAACATGGGCGAGCATTAGGGTTACTAAGAAGTTTTGTGCACCTCCTTAATAGACCTCTGGGCCCTGCCACACACTGTGGTTGAAGGAACTCACAGCATGTGCTCTGTACTTGCAGCAGGTCAGAAACAAGTGATGCTGTAACCAAACAGTTCACACTAACCAGCAGCAAATGAGCATGTCAGGACCTCTGAAGGCATCTCTCTCTTCTAAAAGAGAACCTGGGAAGTCTTAGTGACAGAAAATATGAGTACTAGATTTTTCTTTAAAAAAGACATTACAGTCGAGCTTGTTTTATCACAGTGCAGCAGATGCTGCTCTGAGCCTGCATCGAGGCAAGCAAAGCCGTTACTTCAGCACACCACCCTGTACTGTACTGTGGACAGGCTGCAAATGGTATTCTGTAGATACAGACGTGAACAAATTACTGTGGTGCCAGCCCAAAGCACGTCAACCACATCCACTGGAAAACTGAGGACAGCTGAATACCTGGAAATCTACATATCCCAAGCCTGTGCATCTCTTACTGCAATGCACCACAGTGTGACCAACCTGGTCAGAGGTTTGTGAAGGGAACGTCTGAGTTCAGAAAGGACAAAAGAATTCAAATTGAGGAGAGCAGTGACACATACTAACTCTTTCAGGCAAAGTTGGGAAGAATTAAAATGTGCCAGCAAAAAAAGAGAAACAAAGCCCCTATATCCTATATCCTTCCACAGCCTATAAGATCCTTTATGTTCATTCCTTCATTTCATGGCTCCACATGTTACTTTTAATCTGGGGACTTTTTGTTTCCTCTGTAAACATTTAAACCATTTAGGATACCAAGAAGAACAGGAAGTTTTAAATTTAGACCAAAAAGTCTGTGCTGATCCCACATGAAAATCCTGTCTAAACTTGTTCAATTCAACTGTCTCAGCATTCTTCTGTGACTGGGAGCTGAACATCACTGAGAGAAGAACCAGTGACAGCCTCCAA